CCCTACCCATACTTAGAAAGCCCTAAGATAGACAGCATTAAGCATCCAGCCTAAAAAAAAATTCAAAAGCTTTTCAAAGCTTTGCAGACTTCAGTGCAACTCTGAGAATTACAATCAAAACAACAGCAATGGTTATTTCAAAAAAGAAGAAGAAAAGAAGAACAGCAGAGATGGATACACGTCTGGTTGCTTCCACGTCTGGTGGTTTTTATTGAAGCTAAAGTTTGGCTGATTGCAAAGCTTCCCCCACCCCTCCCACCCCCATATTAAAGTGATTATCTATCGAAGACCTCTGGACCCATCCTCATCTCTGCAGCCTACTGATAAGGCAGCTGCTTCTCTGCCGCTGTGTCTCCCTGGGCCTCGGTCTGTCTTTCGGTACAAACTGTGGCTTTGTTACTATGGCCTGGTGCTGTCACTTTCTCTGTTGTGCAGGCGTTTGATCCGAGCACAAAAGGGGGTGGGGAGGGGAGGTGGCTGTGGGGCTGATCGTCTGGTTGATAGTCATGGCCTCCACCTCCTCCTCTTCCTCCTCCTCCTTCTCCTCCTCAACATGCATTGCACCCAAATGACATAGCCACGGGAAAGGAAGACCTAGAACATCTAAACAGTTTTAGCTCAAAGCCCCGGCGTTTGCTTCCTTCTCCTTTTATTTCCAGCAGCTGGAAGAGACGTAACGCGCTTCTCTCGCACTGAATGCAAGCAGATGGCTTCCTCCAAGCTGAATCCAAATAACCACCATTTATCTTACCTTTCAAGAAGTTAAAAGGGTTGCTGGTGTCCTTGCCTGGAACGAATAATTTTAATTCCTCCCACTCCCAGTTCACACAGAAACACACATATTCTTCGTTGTAGTTTCTTCGCCGATGCGAGAAAAAAAAAGAGAGAGACTTGTTACTGTTACGGTTGCCTTGAATTTGCGCGCGCCCTTGCTTGTAAAGTGTGTGTGTGTGTGTGTGTGCGTGCGCGCGTGAGAACGCCCATGTATGCGTGGGGGAGAGAAAGGAAAGAAGTAACTCCTGCAACCCGCAACCTCTCAGTTTGAGTTCAACACGTGCAGCGAATCCTGGGCATTGTTTCGGCGGAAGGAACCTTCTTCGGAGTTCATTCAGACCCGGTCCTTGAGCGAGAGGCTTTAGTTTATTTTAAGAAGGCTTTTCTTCCATTGCAACGTCCCTTGAAGTCCGGCTGTTGTAATTACTCCTAAATGTATTCCTTGGGAACTGCAGGATGCTTCTGCGGCGAGAGCCACTTAAGAAGGATACGCCATAAAATCAAAAGCAGGGCAGGAAAGAGAAGGAGAAAGTTGAAAAGTTGTGGTAGGTGGGGTGTTGCACGACGCAACGCTTAGAATTGCAGCCTTTCTGGATGTGCTTGGGTCTCTCCTGATGGTAAACGTGAAGAGAGCCCCCATTGAAAAATAAAGTAATCTCTGTTTCTGCGCGCATCCACACACTTTCTGTGATAACTTGGCCTTAAGTATAATATATTCTTAGACACTAAAGATATTTTTAATTGAAATTATTTATTTCTCTCCATCTCTCTCTCTCTCTCACACACACACACACACACACGCACACTCTCCTTGATTTAATCAAGAACAAGCGTACATCACGACTTGTGCAGAACAAATGCCTCTCCAAAAAGAAGCTTAAAAAACAAAACAAGAAACAAACAAAAAAACCCCACAAGCAACCGCGTTGCTTTTGACTCCTAGCACCTTTGAAAATTATTACTCTTCTTCTTTGAATCCCTTCTGCACCGCTCGTGGCAGACGTGAACGTTGCGGTTTAGCGAGGAATTAAGCCACGCGGCACCGCTCTCCATGGTCCTGAAAAAAAAAATTCCCGAAGTTTGAGATGGGAAAGCATTTGGAAGCTGACACTGAGATTCCCCTCCATTCTCATCCAGTCCATACCGGTAGTATATTGTTTTGCTGCTAAATCTTTCACAGTTGTGGTAGCGAGCTTGTTTTGTTTTCCCACCACACTGTTCTTGGGTTCAGTTATGTTATTATGGCTGTCCAAATGATGCTTATACCTGTTTGCATATATCCAAGAAGAAAGGAAAGATTCTACTTTAAACAAAGATGCCCATGATCAGAAGACATTGTTGTTTGTTAAGAAGAAGTACAGGAAAGTGTGTGTGTGTGTGTGTGTGGGTGTGTGCATTTTGAGCTCCAGCTAGTGTGTGAATTAGGCTTTTCCTTCATTTGTATGTGTGAAGATTTGATGTTAGAAAGATAATTTCTTTTGGAAGGTGATTTTTGGACAAGGCCAAGTACACATTAAAAGATGAAAAAAGAGGGAATAAATACCTAGAGTGGTGCTGGTCTTTCTATCATTTTTATTCCTGCTTAATATTATTTGCTGCAATATCAAGTTCATACATACTGAAAAGTTTTCTGTATATAAAGGAAAAAATTGATCCATCTAATTGGCAAAAGTCAGTATCATAGCACTTGTCCTGTATATGGGTTGAGGCACCTTCTTCTATAACCCTCATTTAATCCTAGAGGAATCTCATTTCTTAAATAAAATGAGAAGAGATGCGATGGGGCGGGGATGGGCAGGTGGGAGAAGAAAAGAAGGAGAGGAGGAGGGGGAGGGGGGAGGAGGAGGAGATGCTTCTGCAGCTTCCCAAACTTGATTTTGAAAACTTAGCGAAGTGTTGCTATTCAGATTTTTTTCATAGTCTGAACTGAAGATAAAATATCAGCTTAGTAAGCATTCTAATCGTTGCTAGCATTACAGACAGCTACATCCCTTTTACTGCTTCTATAGCATTGGCACTTTTGTTAATATATCTCCGGAGTCCTGACTTCAGGTTAGAAGAACTAGCCAGGTACTTTGCCTTGATTTTGTCTATTGATAGCTCAGGGTGAGTAGCCTCTTACCTTCTCTTCTCTTCTAACTTATTCTTCAAATGCCGACTTTCCCAGACAATGGTCGGGCTTCATCAAAGAGACAATAAGGAACGAGGGGCGTGTCTTTATGCAAGGATACAGTGTTCCAAAAAAAAAACAACAACCCACAAACAAAAGTTGCTGTGCTTTTCTTCAAATGTTGGCATTGTTGGGCATGACTGAATCCGGAAGGATAGCTGTGGGTATTTTTTTTTTTCATGCTTTCCCAACATCAAAGTTTCAAGCAGAATAAATAAAAGAAAGCACCATCTCCACCCCACCCCTCCAATACACTTAGGGTATCAAGGTTGGAAATCTAACCCACACCTTTCCTTAAGGTGGATGTTTGTTTTAAAGTACTGCAGGACTTCTTAGGAAAGTGATGTCCCTGATCTTCGATTGCTCTAATTTGGGGGGTCAATTTTCCTCTGACGTAAACTCTGCTGCTGTGGCTTCCCACTAGGATTCAACTTTCAAGGAGTTCGTTGTGGAGCCAGCATTCGGGGAGCCTGACATGGATGGGAAGGATCGCTTTGGTTTCATCTGTATGTTGCTATTTGAAGTAAAAACAAACAAACAAACAAAAAAAAAAACAAAGCTTCCTTCTCTTCAGAGTGTGTCGGCCCAACAGTCGGGTCCTCACAAGCTCTCATGCGTGGCATTCCTCTCTGCTGAACATTCAAGGACATGCTTTCACGGAACACTAACTTGCGTTGCACCGCTCTTCCCAGTCTTTCCTTAAATCTCTTCCATGCAAACGTTTCAGTTGGACTAAAGAGATAAAGGAAGTGTGTGTGTGTGTGTGTGTGTGTATGTGTGTGTGTGTGTTGAGGATCACTCTCCAAAGGACACTCTCCAAAGCACACGCGGTGCTTGATCCATGCAATTCTAAGTACGCTAAGCAGTCAGCCCACCCCCACCCCGCCCGTCGCTATCTTTCTCTCAGCAGATGTGGGCTATCTAGAAAGCTGTTCCTCTTGGAAAGGAAACAGGTTGACTTCGGGAGAAGGACGTGGAAGGGCAGAGGCGTGAAAATATCCTCTGCTTGGTTGATGGTCACCAAAGAAACAAAATCCTCTATGAGAATTAACTGTAAATAATGGGGAGAATGTGCTTAAGTAGAGGGGGACAGCTCTCTCTCCCTCTGTATGTAGGGGGGGGGGGTAAGTGAAAGCATTGTCTCCCCCCCCCCAACCCTAGCTCTTTTAACACTCTTCAAAGTTTAAGTAGCGAAACGTGCAAGGATTTTGAGGCAAGTTCAGGGGGAATCGGGCACTTGTGGCAGGCAGATCGGTGGTATGGCTACAAAGTTAGTAAGTGATCAACCCCCCCCCGCCGCCCCTACGATCTTTTTCAACAAGGGGAGAAGCAGGCCCAGCTTTTATTTTTCTTTTCCTTGAAAAGTTGCCATTTTTTATCGGATGTGGCTCCTTTTCGTGGACAAAATCGGAGAAGGAAGTAGAGCCACCCCCGATTCTTTCTTTTTTTTGCTTCTTAAAGTTTTCTTGCCTCAACCCCTGGCAGCTCTGTACTTTAACAGGCAGGGAAGGAAGAAAAGGGCTAGGGGTGTGTATCTGCACGCGCGACTTCTTTCTTTCAGTGAGATCTCAGCACTCTTGTAGCGCACTTGGAACGCTTGTGACAACAGGTTTGTGTGCCCGAAGCTGTGAAACATCCTAGCGGAGCCGTTCAGGGTCGAAACATATCAAGCAAAAAAAAAAAAGGGGGGGGGGCGGGTGGGTGGGAGAGGTTGTGCAAGGATTTCTCGGGCTTGTAATTGTCTAGTTCAAGGGAGGAAAAGGTGGGGGAAAAGGAAAATGGGGGGGGGGAAAGAGCGAGAAGGACAAACGCAAACGTTCGATTGCTTGCCGCCGGTCTCCGCCCGTTCGCCCTATGCTGAGCAGGGTATCGCTCAGTACAACGCACCTTGAAACGGGACTCCATCGAGCCCGTCGGAGTGGCACCGAGCGATAGCCAATCAGATCGGCTACTGGCCGGGGGCGGCGCCAGATGCAGCCGCTTAGACCAATCGGAGGCGAAAGATACTCTGCGAGCAAGTTCCGTTGTCTCTGGATTCGGCGTATACTTCCGCGCGTGGCACTCGGGATAGGTGGGAGAGCCTGGCACGGCTGCAGAGACACATACACGCGCACACTCGTGCGGAAGCAGAGGAGCGCCGGGTGATACGGTTCCTATAAATCTGCTGTAGTCCACCTCCCATTTAAGGCGACCTCCCCCCTTATGCCTGTTCTCAGATAAGAGATGCAGCAGCTTACTTCGATTGGGAGCTGCTAGAAAGAAGGAGGAAGAGAGAGGGAGGCTGTATTTTAAGAAATCCTCCTTTCATCCCTTCTTTCCTTTGTTCTTACCTTTTATTTATCCTCCCCTCCCCCCTTTTTTGTTTAGTTGTGTTGTAACAGGAGACCGTTCAATTTTGCCACGCTCCTTTTTTTTTAAGTTCCCCCTTTCTTTTTTTTTAACCCCCCCTCCCAATTTCTTTTCGTGTTCTGGGAGTGGAAAAAAGAAGCTTTGATTTTTTTAAAAAAAAATCCTCCATTTTTAAAAATCTTCTGTTTGCAACTGTCCGCAATTTAGGTTTTGGGTGTTGTCTTGAGACCTACCCATTTGATTTTTTTTTTTAATTGGGAGACCATACAGTATTACCTTTTTTAAAAAACTGAAGCGAAAAAAGGTAAGTTGTGCTTTATTTTATTCACATTATTATTATTGTCAGATAGTGATGATTTTAAGTTTTGGAGATGTCAGGGTTGGCTAGGCTGCCTTGAGAGAGGATAAAAGTGCATGAGATCCAATTAAGTTTATTGCTCACACGCTTCCGCTTGGTTTCTAGCAGCTTCAGCAGCATCAGTTGAACAGGGTTAGCTACTCCATATCATTTAGAGTGGCAAGAGGGTAGACGATGCACATCTTGGGTTACATTTTGTATCGTATGCATACATTTAGGAACTCGCACGCAGAAACTGTAGCTCGCTAGCTTGGAGGTGTGAAGTTGCCTCAAAACAGAACGCTGACCTTCGCAATGGATCAGCGGAAAGTGCTCAACGCTCGGCTGGGGTGTGAGTAAGTGACTGACTGACTGACTGAATGAATGGAAGGAAGGAGTATCGCTGTGAAGAGCTTAAACCGGCGTTTGCAGATCAGACGGGATTAAGCTTCCAACTCTAATTGTATTAGCCGAATAGCATTTGCTTAGCTGGGAAGGGGGGAGAGCGGAGAAAGGATGCGTGGAACAGGGACTTGAAAGGGGAAAAAATCTGCAGACCTTGGTGTGTTGGCTGTCAAAGCGGGTGCCTCGAGATATGCCAAGCTGTGTGTGCGTGTGTGTGTGCGCGCATGTGAAATATATATGCATGTGTGGGTATAAAGGGACTGGATGGGAGAACCAGCCTCTTTAAAACCCTTCTAATGCCAATTACAGCGCTCTGTAGGGAGGGTTCAGCTTTTATATCCGGGAGCCACGATTTTCTTTGTTCTGAAGAAGGTGTGGGGGGGGGGGGGGAGAGAGAGACAGACCCGCTTCAGTTCTGGATACAGCCGAAAGGCGTTTTGCTAGGGAGCTCTGCTGGTGTATTCCTCATTAGGTGCCGGCAAGCCATTTCTTCAAGCCGCTGTCCTTGGTCCTGATTGAGGAGGGGGTGCGGCCGGGAAATAACAAAAGCATTCTAGCCTGGAAATAACAAAAGCATTCCCTGGGAATAATAATAATAATAATAATAATAATAATAATAATAATAATAATAATAATAATAATAATAATAATAATAATAATAATAATAATAATAATAAAAGCGAAAGTCCGTAGAGTCAGCCCAATGCCGATCCGTGAATGCTTCGGTTGTGAAATTGACACCATGCCGGAGAGGGTGAGAGGCGTTCCCGGTTCCAAATCCTGCTTTCATTTCGCCTGGTGTCAGCATCTCGGGAGAAAAGCATCTCGTTTAATAAAGAAAGATGTCACACAAACCTTCTCTGTCTCTTCCCCCCCCCCTCACCCCGCTCCTGACTCCGACATGGTTGGCTTTCGTAGAAAAGAAGTTGGTGGCGGAGGAAGACGGCGATCTGGCTAGGTAGCAGCTGGGCATTTGAACAAGATGGCTTGAAAGGAAGAGATCTGCCGTCTCTTGTGGCTGAAATTAAGGAGGTTGCGGTTCTATCAAGGACCAGCCTCAGGCTATGCTGTTGTCGCTTAATTTATGCCCAGCACGTTACTGTGCAATGCATACAACTGTCTCCTTTCGCAGAAAGAGCAAGGTCTCCGTTGCCAGTGCTTAGTCTGGGCCCTTAGCTGGTATTCCTCTTGAGTTTCTTCAAGAAAATAAGAGGGAGCATTGTAGTTGCAATTGAATTAACTATGTAAGTTTTCAATTGGCTGGGGGCAGGTGGCTTACCAGCACAACCCACATATTCAGAACTAGACTGAACGTTAGACATCTGAGGACTTGATGATCCCTTTATAGTAAAGCATCCCTCGTACCCAAAGTGCATGTGCAGGTGTGAGTAAAATAGGACCCCCATCTTAATAAGTTCAACCATCCAGCTTCGTTCAAGTATATAAAAGGCACCTATAGGGTGGGAGAGGTGTTTGTGGGATCCTCTGAAGGGCAAGGATTTATTTCATCTTCATATAAACACACACACACAACCTTCAAGAGCCAAGCCCATTTTCACTTTGCACGTGGTGGTGCTACTTAATGAGCCTTTAGCTAAATGAGTGGGAAAGTGGCTTGGTTTCCATCTTTACAGGCTTATTAGGTAGGAATTATTTGAAATTTTGGCTTTTCCAGGCCATGTTGTCAACCAGGGGAGGTCAGGCGATTAAATGCTGGAAAGTTAAGCTACTCTCTCAGTGGAGGGCCCACTTAAAAGAGAAGCAGCAAACTCAACCTGCACACTTACAGCCTAGTGTATTTCATATGGCGAGTATTGAGGAGTGCAGCAAGCCAATACAGCTGTTTGTGAAAGGGGTGTAACCCCAAACAGTTGGCCTCTGAAGAGGGTTAGGCACCTCTATTATTATAGGTGGGGAGGGAAATATCCAATGGGTTCTGTCAAATATTGTTAGTCTCACAATATCATAAGCCATAATAAATATGCCTTATCAGTGGCCTGACCTTGTTTGTCCTCCCTACTCAACAAAGCGGTTGCCCGCAAAGAGCTTCCTAGTGACAGACTTTGGGGAAGCGGAGAACAATGCCTCCAGATTGATCTGGTGAAGGTCACCGGTAGGGTATCTTAGCCAAGAGCCAGAACAGAAAAGGGGGCTGTGGATGATAGGATTTAAAGCTATCTCATGGACAGGGCTCAGATGAGGAAGTTTGAGGATAGATGTTGAGCTCTCTTTCCCCTTTACAGACGATCCCCCAAGCCCTCAGTTTAAGATTGCATTCTTTACGGCTTTCCTTATCTCCCTGTTTTGGGAGTGAAGGGTTGCAAATCTCACCTAGCTGGCTGGAAAACCATGGTCCCAAAGCCACTTCTACCCAGACATGTTCCCTTTCCAAGGGCTTTAGGCCCCTTTAGCTACAAGGAGCCATGCCAGCATATGGAATGATGAGGCATGCCAGCAATCTTTACCTAGCTGTAAGCCCTACTCAGATCAGTGGGACTTCCTGCAGAAAGAATGAGCGTTCGAGCCATTTCCAATTGGTGGGGCTATGACTCTCAGATTTGGGGAAGTTGTAATCTCAGTTCATCTGGTGAATTGGTGAAGGGCATCAAGATGGACAGGCTGCAATTGTGCTTTTCAGGATTTGAGAGATGCCAGAGACTGGACACAAGACTGAGCTCCTATGGAAAAATACCATAAGTGCATTCCCCAACTCCTTAAACGTTGCCGGGAACAAAACCAGCCCTGATCCTCCACAACCAAAAGTACAGCTATCTGGAAAACATTTAAGTCGGTTTGGATCCAATGGGATTTTTAGCCAACAAGCTCTCTCCTCCTTGTTCATTTAGAGAACAGGACTTTCTGTTCAAATCTGAACACCACCACCACCATTACCCTTGGCATGACGGCTTAAGTGCTTTATGGATGGGAGCCACAAATGATTTCCCTCACGGAGCTCCATAGCCGAACATTAATCTTTAACGATATGCGCTGCAGAGTTAAGAGGCTTTATGGATTACAGCCAAAAAATTGCTAATTCGAAAGACTTTATTCCATAGTCATCCAGCTGACCCGTAGAATTATTTTAAAGTAGATTACAGCCTGATCTGCTTGCTCACTTTCTAAGGTTACTTTGAAGTAAGTGGGGAACACAACAGGGACTTTTCACTGCACACAGGGCCCCCTTTTTAAATGTAAATGACATTGAAATTCTTTGGTAAACATCAACGCACAGCTCCATTCTACTCATTAAGTATATGAAGGGGCTACTGAGCTGAAAGGGATCTACTCCCAAATATGTGTCCTCACGGCTGTGCAGTGTTAGGATTGAGCTTGCATGCCCATTTCGTGCAAAAGGGTTAACTTACTAGGATTAACTTCTTAGTAAGCATGCACTTTGGTTTGTAGAAGTGATCCTAGGCAGCATAACTAAAGCCTGCTATAATTCTGCAGTCCAAGAAAATACTTAAGAGAAAGACCTGTGACTTAAGCCTGCCTCAAACATCCTGCTTCTAATTAGGAGATAAATCCTATGTTTGACCTGGACCTATTGGCAAAACTGGTCGCTCCTGTTCCATTCAGAAGAAATTCTGGTGAAAACGAGGGACTTTATTGTGGTCGAAAACTACTCTAAAGGCCGAATTAACCCCATTAATTTAAATAGAGTTGATTTTGCTTCTTTTTTTGCTTCTTAAGAAGTACCCATAATATGCGTGGCCTTCCAACGGTTTAGATTTGGAAGTTAACTGCTCCTTTGATCACTTTTTGGATTTACTACAAAGAGAAGGGATGCCTCCCTCCCCAATAAGAGGCATTTAAAACCATGGATTCGAAGGAATTACTCGTTGCAAAGATTCGCATGCCTAATATCCAAAGTAAAGTGCATTTGCACAAACGTAGTTAGAAAAATAAGCAGCAACAATATAAATGAAGGCTTCGCGCATATCAGTGTTTGAGGAAATCTCATTGGGTAGTAAAGCCTTTTACGGAGATGTTTTTTTTTTTTTTAACGGAGATTGAAAGCTTAAGACTTTTGGGATTTAAAATTTATTACCGTAGGATGCAAAGAAATCACCGAAGCAGGTGGAGTTGATGGGGAGGTTTGAGTGGGTTTTTTTTTTTGGTCGACTCCGCCATCTCGGCGCAGGCGCATTTCAGGGGTGCCACCTTTTGGCGAAGAGTTGGAGGGGCCGTTTTTTTTTTCCCGCCAGTGCCCGCATATCGTTTTTTTTTTTGCAAAAGGCTACGCCAAGAGTAATTTTTTGCACTGAATATTGAAAAAAAAGAGGTCAGATATTATTTTTCTGCAAGGGGAAGGGCGGGCAGAATTGGATATTTAGCCATACGCGGCTGTTACAAAGGTGGTGCAAACTCACCCGTGATTTTTTTTTTTTTAAAAAAAGATGCGTTTCTTTGGTCAGCAGTATATAATATTGGCATTTTCTCTCCCTCCACCCCCTTAAAAATACAGACAAGGTCCTTTGCAATTCATTTATAGATATGCCAAAAAAGGTGCTCGGCATTTCAAGGGATTTTTTTTTAAAGATGATACGTCCTGGTACTTG